ACTAATATTGTTCCTTTTAAATTGCTATACACTATGCTAGTAGACTAGAGTGTCATGCTTTATGTGTGGTTGTTAATATAAATTGGATGGTTGCATGGTCTAAGTGATGAACTGGTTGGTTCATTTGTTGAAGTGGTTGTCCTGACCACCATAGGCAGAACTATGAACTATATATACATGTACATAACCTGGGAGAGAGAGAAAGGGAGAGTTTTTTAATGCAAATTCTTGGAAGTAACAATTTCAATTACAAATAAGAGTGTTGCATTGAAGCATAGTAGAGTCAGTTACTGGAGGAACGTCACAAGAAGTACATTGTACACGTACATGTGTTTGTAAAGCAAAGGGAATGTTTTTACTACTTCCTAATCACTGTGTGTGTAATGTGGTTTCCTTTCCTTTTTACGCATCCTTTTATTATTATTATTGTTTATATCTTTGTGGTGTATAGAGGTCATCCTCAGCGTACAGTGACACTGACAGTGGGTCTGGCTTTGGAGGAGGATCTGGGGCTAACCCTTTTGGTGATGATGATAAGGAACTACTAGTGGAGAGGGAAGAGTGAGTCCCCCTCTCTCACACACACACACTCTCTCTCTTTTCCCTTCTTCCTTCCCTCTACCTGTAATGTCCCCTTCTTCCTTATTTTAATCCCCTCTACCTGTTATGAATACATACAATCACGCTTCCCTAATCACATCTCTTATTCTTTTATTGATATATTTGGATTTATAATGCACGCATTTATCCAACACTGATACATTATATGCCTCATTTCTCATTTCAAGCTTCATTTGCTTGAGCGATTGCACTTGTGATTACTGTATGTGTTTTTATCTTCATGTAGTCCTGGACTCTCCCCTGAAGCTCAGCTACAGTTGCAACATGACACCTCAGAGGTTGAAGAGAGGGAAAGACACATGAGACAACTTGAGGTACGTGTACATCTACATGTATGTGTACATCCTTGAGGGAAGGGAGAAAGAGAGTGGTGAGCCTTACATCATGACATGTAGTCACTAGTCAATCTGTGGAGACTTTGACCTTGTAAGCAACTTGTTGCCAAGAATAGAGCACCTTTTTTGTTCTGGGGAATAGTTGCTGGCAAGGTGAAAGTACTCATATTTATTTAAGTGAACACTAAAAGAGAGGATGCTGATTTATAGATTAAAGCAAGAGTAGATAATTATCGTACTCTTGATGAAAGTGGGTGTAATAGTAGGTTAATTAAGTCAATTACATTGTCCAAGAGGAAAACCACACAGTCATCATCCAGTCTGACTGCAATCCATCGAATCTAATTTAGCATCACCAGTAGCAGGGATGCCTGCATCTATATGTAAATACCAACGATCCATTATTGCTTAAATTTAATTTAGCCAATTAATGTAACACGGATGTACACGTTTTACTCTAAATAGATCACCTATAATGAAGGAAGCATCAAGGGATCAAGGGGATGTGTTGATAGTATATTTACTTAGTATGTTAATGTGTTTTTGAATTTATAATATTGCACCTGTATTAGTGATCTGACTGATCTTATACTACACTCATGCATTTATATATACACATACTCTGTACATGTGTAACCCCCTCTCTTGTTCTCTCTCTCTCTCTCTCTCTCTCTCTCTCATTCTCTCTCCCTCTTAGACTGAGATACTGGATATCAATGATATATTTCGTGACTTGGGGACAATGGTCCACGATCAAGGGGAGATAATTGGTAATTTGGTACACATTTTTTGACGATTATATAAAAAATTTTATTGTACATTTCTATAGACAATATTGAGGCTAACGTTGAAATAGCTGGGACTCGTGTTGAGAGCGGTAATAAGCAGCTGGGGAGAGCAGTGAAGCACAAGGTAATGAAGAAATAATCATGCTATAATTATTTTTTTTAATTTTATGTCTATATTTTCCCTCTTTTTTATCTCTCACTATTCAGAGGTGTAGTAGGAGACTCACGGTATGTATTCTCTGTATCTTGCTAGCTGTGGCTATAGCTATTGTCATAACTATACTGATACTGGTTGGAGTCCTGAATGGCTTTAAAAAGTGAAAAGAAGACATTTTTTTTTTTGGTCACCACAACTTTTCTATTGTCTTTTCTCTCTTCTCTTTAACTTAAAACTTTGCGTGAATATTATTATTGCATTCTTCTACACTGCTTTACCAAGAGATAATATTATTACCGTATTGTTGTTGCTTATCAGTGTCTTATATATAAAAATTGTTGCTTTTTTAAAATCTTTACTTCAGCTGTAACAATTATTATTATTAATAAAAGATAATAGTTATTTTAATAAAATTAATTACAATTGTTGTTGCCAGTAGCATCATTTTCTGTGACTAATTACAAGGGGCACACCCATTCTTCGCTCGACTAGCTCAGGAAGGAAAGAGTATTTAATTTATCGAGTCGATCCTCTGATTGTACAATTGCCCTTTTCTGTCTCTCTCCAACTGATCTCAATCTCTGATAGCTGGATAGGCTTGAAGATAGACATCGAAGCAGATAATACTTCCATTAAAAGGTAACTACAACAAATCGTCAGTTCTGTTACAAGCCCTTCCTATTGTCATTTATGGCTCTATCTACAAATTTGTCCATGTATTGTTGTTGCTTAAGGTAAACTTACTGATTCTTTCAATTGTTTTGGGCACGAGGCTATTATATATTTAGGCATAGATCTAATATTATATGATGTTTACATTTGGTTTGCAATTGATATGCAATTTGTGGTTCAAGTTGTACTGTCCTTTATATTTATGGTCATATTTAGTAGTAACAAGACTCTTCCATCATGATTAACACAAATTGTCCTATTTTAATATGGCACCATTTGTATGCCTAGTCATAACTATGTGTTGATAATTTATGCACCCAAGCTTTCCCTTTTGCCAATTATGTATATGTACATGTATGTATATTCGTTTGTATATGAGTTTTCACTGAACTTATTAGTGCTGTTTGTTCTATTATATAAAATGGGACTTAAGTTGTATCGTTCATGATGATAGTTTGTTATTATACCAATAATGCTTACGTTTTCAATGACTTCATTTTCATTCTATTTATGTCGTGTTTTTATACCTCTGTAGTTGTTTTTGTGTTTACATTATCGGCTAACTTCCCTAAGTTTCCCAAACAGCTCTCCCCCTCTTTCAGTCTTTCCCTGTATTATAATTTATGTTGTTATTTCTCTCTCTCTCTCTCTCTCTCTCTCTCTCTCTCTCTCTCTCTCTCTCTCTCTCTTTTCTTTGAAGTCTGTTAACTATGTAAACATGCCATAACCCGCCATGCACCATTATCTCTCGTAAAATTTCTAATTCTATTCCTTATGGCTACTAGCTGTATTACATTGAGAGGAAATTCCTTTTCTTTAATGAGTAGTAAATGCTATTAAACAGGTGTTTGCACAATATTTAGTTTGTATTACAAAGCAGCAAGATTCTTTTTAGTAAATCTTCATTTGGTAATGAATGATAGGCTACCCGTTTTATTATGATTATAATATGCCCCAGGCTTGATCCTAATTGTAAGTAAAACCACTTCTAGACTAGGAGAAATTTAAAGACATGAGATCAGAGTAATAAAGGTTGCATGATGTGTGCCTACTATCTTCTAATTTTTATATTTATAATGTGATCATTCCAGTTTTATAAGACTGAGGGAAAGAGTATAGTTTAATTATTGAGAGCTATTGCATGTTCAAAGTGTAAGTACTGTAATCAAGTGTATAGTTAATGTGCAAAGATTCAGATATTTGCTACAAGGGTTTAGATACATCATTATTAAATATCTAATAAGACATCATCAACCATAGCAGACCCATTCTTAAAGCTAATTGTAAGAGACAATGGTGTGGTGAAGCCACTTAACTTCTGTACACGTTTCTTCACGTTTGATTGTCATGTATAATCTAATTGGATTCATTTTGGTTGATAAAAATATTACAATGACACAGATACTTGTATGGTGCCCTTATTACATATACAGTGTTACATATTGTACCTAGCCTCTATTTATAGTAAAATATGGGAATTTATCATATAACCTCAATATTGAAAGGATGATGACTAAATTTTCCCTTTTCTGTCACCAATGAAAACACAGGCAGGTGTGTGGTCAAGCCTGTTGTAGTTTTTAATTAAAAGAGTGTGGAATGCTTAGAATGTATTTTGACTTTTATCATTGTTTTTATAGCTACGTGTAATTGAGTTGCTAATGCTTTTCTAGTAATAGCTTATTCTATGCAAGATTAAGATATTTTTGGAGGTCAAAACAAATTTGGGCATAAATTTATAATAATTATATTATTAGTAATGTGTGGGCGTGTGTATGGTATATTATTGCACGTTGTGTGGTTTCTGTGAAATATTATTGTCACAACAGTGATGTTATCATTAGTCTAAACTAGCAATATCAGGATATTGGTTCATTTATTATACAGTTTATATTATGTGTGATATTTAATATTACATTTGCCATACTGTACATACATTGTGTTTGTGAGTGTATTAGTAGTATATACACTGGTAATGTTGATGATTATTTTTGAGCAAACAGTTTTTATGAAAAAGCTTTCAATTCTCTTTATTATCATCACTTTTCCCTTAGCCTTTTAAAAGTTGCTCCAAAATTGGATCAAAGACCCTGTACCACATGTATATATGGTACAGGGCATTTTGATGAAAATGACTTAAAGAGAATTCTTCTTTTTTATTTTTTTCCCCTTGCTAATCCATATGCATGTTTTTATGTTGTTTTGAAAGTTTTGGGTCCATTTCAATAAAAATTGAACTTTTTTTACAAATTTTTAAAGTTGCTAAAGGCCCTGTACTATAGCCCATGGTTTTTTCCAAAAAATGGCTCCAAAATCACCTCCAATTTTTATTACATTTTCTGATACATATTGATGTCCTTATGCTGTGGAGAAATTTTGAGCTGATTTCAACAACAAATTCCTGAGTTATGGGCATTTAAAAAAAATAAGCAAGAATCAGAAAATTACACTGTAATTAAATAGTACATAGCCTTTGGCCAAATTTTGCCAAGAATGACTAAAAAATTTTTTTTATTTTTTGAGCTGATTTTAATAAATTTTTAAAGTTGCTTTAAAATTGAGCCAAAACCTATAAAGGTCTCTGGCCAAATTGTCAAAAGTGACAAAGAGAGAAATCTTCATTTTTATATTTTTTCTAATACAATATGTATGTTCTTTTGTCATTCTGAAAGTTTGAGTTCATTTCTATTAAAATTTGAATTTTTTACAATTTTTAAAAGTTACAGAATTTAGTGTCAGAATTTAGTATAGAATGAATGACTAGGAGAGAATTTCTTTATTTTATTTTCCAATTCATTATACATGTTTGACATTGTTTATATGATTCTGCATGGCAATATTCACATATTAATACATTTGTTACATTATTTTTACAAAACTTGGTTTTATTCTCGTCGTGATTATATATTAATCTTTGAAAAAATTTTCCTTGTAGTTTTTGGAGATGTTTCTACAGTGTGTCATTCTTTCCTTTGTCTTGTTTTTATGCACTGCTACTACAGTCCGTAAGTACATGGTTCATTGTATACTCTGCTCTAATTTTTCTTGTTTTGTGATTGAAAAAAAATCTTCTAGAAAATTTAAATCATTTAGAAAATTTATTACAAGACTGTTTTATTAATCCATTTTAAATTAGTAAAAATTGAAATGAAGCAAAACAAAATTCATTGTTCAACTCCATGCACCATAATATACTGCTTAATCACAAAGTGCTTATTAATAATCAATCATAATAACTATGTAAATGTATGTAGTAATAATGTGTGATCCTACTGTGTTATTTTTGTTTCATAATTTGCATGTGTGATACTGTCTTTTTTAAAATAATAGGCAAGGGTGGTGGTATAGGAAGAACAACCTCTTTCCAATGCGATGGAGAAGCACCATATACTTGGACTATCAGTAATGGTGAATCACCACCCTATCAAAGCAATATACAACAGAGTGGTGATATACTGAAAATTACTAGCATAGTATATCAACATGAAGGAAACTATACTTGCAAAAATGATAGATTCGAGCTTATAGTACTGGGTAAGTGAGAATGTATTTTTAAAGGTTCAGTGTTGCAGATTTCCCTAATTTTTATAATTATTATGGGTAACTCACTCCAACTTTAGGTGGTGCTTCAATTTTCTATAGTGACTTGATGTACATGTGCTATACTATATAGTCCATGGTTTTTTCCAAAAAATGGCTCCAAAATCACCCCGAATTTTTATTAAATTTTCTAATACATATTGATCTCCTTATGCTGTGTCGAAAATCTGAGCTAATTCCGACTTCAGATTTTCAAGTTGCAGCCATTTTAAGAAAATGCCAAAATTCTTAAAGATACCCAAGGCTATAAATAGCCCATGGTTTTTTTCAAAAAATGGTTCCAAAATCACCCCAAATTTTTATTACTTTTTTGATATATATTGATGTCCTTATGCTGTGCAGAAAGTTTGAGCTGATTCTGACTTCAGATTTTCAAGTTACCGCCATTTTAAGAAAATGCCGAAATTCTTAAAAATACCCAAGACTGTAGCCCATGGTTTTTTTTAATGGTTCCGAAATCACCCCAAATTTTTATTACTTTTTTGATACATATTGATGTACTTATGCTGTGTAGAAAGTTTGAGCCGATTCCGACTTCAATTTTTTTAGTTACAGCCATTTTAAGAAATCTGTCAAAATCTAAAAATACTCAAGGCTTTATACACTGTGCAATATGCATGATCCCTCTGCCTGTGTTTGTTTATAAAGAGAACTCCAGCAATCACTTTGTTTGTTTTTACGTTATCATACTGCATAGGAACCTTAAAAATTTGTGATACATTTTGTCATGCATGTAGGCAGCTAAGGCATGCTTGCATAGTTGTTGAATTTTTGCTCCCACTTTCCTGTTTTTGTATGGCCCGGCCTTGTGCTCCTAAATTAATAACGTATCTGTGTATTATTAGATCAACAAGCTTACAGCCTCAATCTCTCACTTTCTCTCTCTTTTAGCTGTTGTTAAGTTTCAAGGTGATTGTTCTCCATACCAGGATTGTGACTTAGGAGTGACCAGCACTCTACCTGAGGGACAGCCAATCCCACTCAACATATCATATGACTTTGTCAATGGAGGGCCAAGGGGCGAGAATCAAATGGTTGAATTTATGCGTTTCAAGCAAGATGGAGCAAGTCTGCTTAGTTGCAGCAGTGCTGGTTGTTCCATTCCCTACAATGTCCCAAATGTAGTGAAAAGCTCTGACAGTAACATTAATAATATTCAAGCTAATGTGACGGATGACAGACCTATCAATGCTAGCAGGGTCTTTGTCGTTGAACTTGATATTAAAAGCACGGGTAACTTGTATGAGACCATAACAGCCACCTTTACAGTCAGTGTGACCTCCACCAGTACAGGTTAGCAGAGACACTTACTCTGTAAACTACTGTAGCTTCCTGTCTCCTTATCTTATTTGACCTTCCACACCTGATGTAGCTAACAGTTTTGTTAGGATCAGCCCATTGTAATGATGAATTATGTAATATATCTAACAGACACTCCTTTGTCATAACATCAAAAAACCACCTCAATCATACTTTAAATTCTTCTCTGTCTCTCTCTTTTTCATTTAGTACTCCCAACTTCTTCAAGTATTATACCAGCTGACACTACTTCAAGCAGTGTGGTAGCAGTACCAATGACTAGTACTGTAATAATTGATCCTCCTCTAACATCCACTGCTTTCATTCCATCTCCCTCTCCCAGTACCTCTTCTTCCGCCTCTGAGTCTGTTTTGTCACCACCTCCTTCCTCAACCAATAAACCCGAAGGGCCTTCTTCCTCTTCCTCATCTATTTCCTCCTCCTCTTCCTCATCTATTTCTTCCTCCTCTTCCTCATCTATTTCCTCCACTTCCTCGCCAGTGATTACCGCCCCACCAGGTAATTATATAATACTCATTCCCTGCTTAATATGGTATTGTATAGTTACATGCATGCTTCTAACTGTAATCTTAAAAATGTCTTTTTCATCAAAGGGCGTCTGTCTACGTGAGACACATTTATGTAGCCTTATCGATGTCACAGCCTATATAATGGTAGGGATTTTTTCCTGTTGCAACCAGTCAACCACAATGGCCACGTGTGACATAGCCTATGGTTCATACAAGTGATAATCCTAATTACTGATAAATGATAATGATATTATGTACTTCCCTCGTAATGAGCTGTTTCTGATCTCACTTTATCACACATTCCCACTTAAAGCTATAAGCAGTGCACTATAATAACATTAGTCACTCTGTTTAGGTGACCTTTAATCAAGTGCTTTGTTGTATATACCAGAGCTAGTTTAATCTACCTCTACACCATACATGGAAGAAAGAGGGTAGTCATTTGGGGTCCATTCCACCATATTTGGTCTCTGTAGAACCTAGAGGGAGAAAAATAGGGCAGCAAATCCAATGTTATGTAGCTCAATCTATTTATGGTGTCTAAGAGTAGTTCCATATCCCTAGAGTATTCTGTTCTTATGACTCTTACTCTATAATGTCTAATTGGAGCTAAATAGGTTCTGATTCACACGGCTTTAGAAAGCCATCTATTAATGACTGTTCCATATTTTAGTGCATATATGCATGTACCTGTGCATGTATGGAGCACATGACATGCTGTGTGTATATTGCACTTCCTTTTTCGCAGTTTGTATAGAGTAGTACATTCCTTAATTTTAGCTTATTGTCTTTTTTCCTTTACTTATTTAAGTGATTATCACATGGTGGGCCTGTGAGTGCCTGTGAGTCATCCTTTTGCAATTAGATACTTAATGCAGCACATTCTTTGTACATACATGTACATTTAAAGTCATTGAGAAATTGGTGATCTATACTTTTAATAAAATGTCCACTTATTTGGTAATCTCTCTTTTCCTCCTTCTCTCTCTCCCCCTCTCTCCAGACTCTCCCCCCCTCTCCCCCCCCCAAAAGGGACTACTAAGTCTAAATGTTAATCTATTGAAGTGTATATTTGTGGTAGAGGTACCCACCTGTTAATGTGGTCTCTAATTTTATTGACAGTACTTGATTTGCATACAGTAAGCTGTGTGAATGCTGTTATAAGCACAGCTGCTCCAAGAGTCTATGACATATGTACTATTGACCACTACCTGCCCATATATATACGTCAGTAAATTTAGATCATAATGACTTTCTTCCTCTCTCTCTCTCTTTTTACTTTAGTTCCTACTGCTATTTCAGATCCCTCTGAAGACCACGTTGTACTTGCTTCAATTTTATCCGCTTTCATTGTAACGATCATTGTTATAGTCCTCTTCTTGGCTGTCCCTTTTCTAATACTCTACAATTCCAAACGATCCACGAGTGTCTCTAGTGGCGTCAATAATAGTCAGGAAACTCTTGATCGACCGCCTGAGATTGTAATTGAGCGATCAACACGGACTGAAATTACTGAAACTGCGATTTATGCCGAAATCAAGCCAGTGAATGATGAGATGCTCTCTCATAATGTCATAAGGAACATACACTACGTCAGTAATGGCTCATCGAGTTCTAGTATCACTGATGGGCAGTCCTATGTAGACTACTCACCTTATGACATCCCTCCAGTAGTTGGAGAACTTAAGTCAGATTTAAATTCAGATTGGACACCTGCAGTATAGAAGTCATGCATAGTTAAATGAACACTGCAATTATTTCATTCTTATCATTCTTAATTCCTTCTCTCTCTTTCTTTTTTTTTAATTTCTCTCTTTTATACTCACCTCCTCTCTCTGTCTCTGTCTTTCTGTTCTTGTTTTATCGAATACTTTTTATGTATTAAAATTTTCATTTATAATTCTGTTTTTAAGAGTAATAATAATAAAAAATAATAATTACTAATGTTTTTCTCCCTTTTAGCAAGAGTAGATAAGGGAGTCCTTGCAATCAGTAAGTGTGAAACGAGACTTAGCACATTCACATTGCAGGATGGGATGGGGCCCCGGCATGCATGTATCTATTGCCCGGGGGAGTGGTGTTACTACGTGTATAAAAAACAACAGGCAAGTCACACTCCAAGCGTTCATGCAAAGATCCACTGATGGGCAGATTAGTAGAGTATCTAGGCCAGGAATTAGCCATCTTGCTGATGTTCTTCTCCCTTTTAGCAAGAGTAGATAAGGGAGTCCTTGCAATCAGTAAGTGTGAAACGAGATTAGCACATTCACATTGCTTTATGATCATCTTCACTCCTTTGACTCTCTTTTTCCATCATCTGCAGTTCAGTATGAGAAGGCATTGGCAGGTACTGAAGTCATATTATTCGAATCGTGTTCAAACTGGTTATTTACTAATGATACTGTCACTGATATACCAGCCACCAGTATGAATGGTGTATCTATCAAATATGGTGATGAATTGCATATTAGTAACATTAATGGATATCATGAAGGATTATACAAATGCAGCAGTGATCATTCTGTAGCAGTGAACTTGACTGTTTATGGTTAGTTTCATGTCTTTTAGCTGACTATTTATTTTATTCTCCTCTTTACTTTCACTCTATAGCTGTACCACATTTTCAAAGTTTTGGTACGCATCATGTAGTGTCAGATGGACAGTCTACAGTTCTTAATATATCACTGGATTATGTTAATGGAGGGGCAAGAGGAGCTAAACAAAACATATATGCTGTAATTTTGAAAAAAGCTGGTGCAGGCAGTTCATTACTATACTGCTACACTGATGGTCGCGGTTGTAGTGTTAAAAATTCATTCATACAAAACTACACTCCAACAGATGCTCCTAGTAACTTTACTGCATCAGTGAAAACCAGTAATGTTAATATTTCTGACAGTGGAACATACGAGGCTAAAGTCGAACTGAATGACATTAATAATCAGAATTATATTAGCGTGATTTCAAGTACACTTACTTTGTCAGTGATTCCAAAACCTACAGCAACTTACAGTAAGTGTATTGAATGCATGAATCCCTCTCTTGAATGACTGCTATTCAACTTTAATTTGTTTACCACGATAATAACAGTACTTGTTTCCCTTTCAAAGGAATTTGTATATTGATATTTCATTCCCAACAGTTCCCACTTTGATAACTTTCTCCTGCATGCATAGCATACACAGCAGTACTGTTTGTGATGTTACATACACACACATTAACTTTATTGTCAAGGGAAGTATATAGTTCCAACTTTCAGTTTTATTGTCAACTGGGCGAAGAGACGATTTGGTGCCATATGCATGGTTTTTGTTTGTAGACATTAGATTCAATATTTAGAGCCATGTTTAGTCTTTATAGGCCTTTTCCAGACTATGTTTGCATTCATAATCTGTGGGAAAGGTCTAGATTTGACTACATTGCAATCAGTTGTACTTCAAATTTGACTGCATGTACAGATGCTTTAATTGATAAAAAAAATCCCCTTTGCAAACTTGAATACACAGACCTTGCCTTGTGCTTCATATTTGGTAAAGTGGACAATTACTGAGTTCAAAGCTCATGCATGCAAAGTCAACTGTGTATGCTTTATAATGGGACTAATTTCATGTGAAGGAGGAAAAGCAAACAGTATAACAAGCTTGAGACCATAAACAATTAAACTAGGGGATTATTAATTAATGATGATGCCAGTTACCGGTAGACATGTGACTGTTTTTTTATTAAGTAAACATAATATCGTCTCTATTTATCCTGTTAAGGGGATTTTCCAATAAAAAAGCTTTTCATGCATGAACATGCTCAATTTGCTATAATAATTTTATTTCATTGTACCTAAGTGTTTGTATAAACACGATCCTTTTTACTTCCTGCATTCTTTTCATGCATAGGTGCTAGCATGCATTCAACTATCACAACACAACAGGTGATGATGACTTCCAGTTCTATTTCATCATCATCCATTCATCCTTCTCCAACTTCCTTGCCACCAGCTGTGCAATGCAACAGCAAGTACAAATACGACATTTATTTGTGCTCAAAAGATGCCTTAGTTGCCATTGTTTCCATGAGTGACAAGTCTACACTACTCTATGAATGGATTGAGGGAGTATTAAAAAAGACTAGCACGAATATTGATAGCTTCAAGAAGAATCATAGTAATTGCTTGAGTCAGTATAAGGGAAGCACAACCAAAGGTGAGTAGTGAGTGGTCAATTCCAACAAAACAAGGAGCAGCTCTTGTAACTTAATATGGTCATATATACTATGTGCCAAAAAAGTTATCAAAATAAAACAAGCCATCATGCTAATGAGCATGTTGGCACTTCCATAATAGGATAAATAACTCCCTCAACTATAATTATATTTATTTTTATTTTATTCATATCTAATTTTTTCTCTTTTTTCAACAGCACGTGTTAATGGTATTCAAACACGAGAATTAAAAAGGAACAAGATCAACAATTGTAAAACTGAGTGTGCTGGATTAGTAGCTAAAATGCTACGACTTGTTGATCAAACTGGCTGCAATGAATGAACTGATTAATTATTTTATTTATAATTTCAATCGTCAATACTTGTTATTATTGATAGTTTATGTTTCCTCTCATAGTATTTAATATTTATTATCAATTTTCAAATGCACATAATTAGAAGAAAAATGTAGCTAGTAAAAGATACTACTGGGATTGTTGAATTTAAATGGTGGTAATACAACGTTTAGCCTAAGTCTTTTAATGTTAAATGCTGTTGGAACACTGGAAACAGCCATTTTATTTCATCAGAAAAATACCTGCCAAATTCCATATACACAGCAGAGAGTTTGTGATTGAATCATGAATGATGTCAGTCATGATTTGGCCTAATGCATCCTGAATCATCGATTTTGTGCAGCTAACATGGCAATGAGCCTAGCTTAAATCTATCAGGCTCAGCCTTGATACAATCATGTTGGATTTCATCATTACTGGTTCAGCCAAAGCAGCATGCATGATTCGGTAATGATATGTATCAATACTGCAATCGGACTCAATTCTTTGATTTTGATCTTGTTAACTAGCACAATACACGTGAAAACATGTGCTCATAATAATGCGTGGGTGGTATTGCATCAATGAAAAATAATATAAAATTTCATGCTACATTAATTTAATTGTGCATAGATCTAGATTGCTTCAGCCATCATGCAATTGAGCTCCGTTGTGGATGATTTGCTACATTATATCTTGAATAGCTCGTGTCCAAACAGACTGCAATGGTTGCATTCCCCTCTGGCTGAGGTCATCTGCAACTGAAATTAGAAACAGAGCTGTATTATCTATACTGTTACACATTATTATATACATGAGCTCAGTGCTTCCTGGTCAGGCACGGTGCAGAATTTATTAATAACGTAATGTCTGGATGTTAAGTGACTGATTAGTATATAACTCGAGGAACTTCCTCGATCCTTTTATATGAGTAGAAACTTGAGTGTGTAGCTGTGGTAAGCATACAAGGCGAGGACCAAGGGCTTTTAGTCTTGACTGTACTTAACAATCGTTCCCTATGATGGCTCTAATAAAGATGGCTTTGCCCCTTCTACTGTTTGTAGTTCAACTGAGCCATACAATTAGTAAGACGAGAAGAAAGAATATAAGACTGAAATATATTATTCTGCTTCCTTTTTCTCTCTTCTGCAGTTCAATATGAGAAGGCATTGGCAGGTACTGAAGTCATATTATACGAATCATGCTCAGACTGGTTATTTACTAATGACACTGTTAGTGATATACTAGCCACCAGTATAAATGGTGTAATTATCAAATATGATGATGAATTGCATATTAGTAGCATTAATGGATATCATGAAGGATTCTACAAATGCAGCAGTGATCATTCTGTAGTAGTGAACTTGACTGTTTATGGTTAGTTGTGTGTCGTCTGTTCATTGACTATTTATTTTATCCTCCCCTTTACTTTCACTCTATAGCTGTACCACAATTTCAAAGTTTTGGTACACATGTAGTGTCAGATGGACAGTCAACAGTTCTTAATATATCACTGGATTATGTTAATGGAGGGGCAAGAGGAGCTAAACAAAACATATACGCTGTAATTTTGAAAAAAGCTGGTGCAGGCAGTTCATTACTATACTGCTACACTGATGGTCGCGGTTGTAGTACTAAAGAACCATTCATACAAAACTACACTCCAACAGATACTCCTAGTAATTTTACTGCATCAGTAAGAACTAGTAATGTAAATATATCTGACAATGGAACATACGAGGTTGTAGTCGAACTGAAGAACATAAAAAATGATCATTCTGTTGCAACATCTAAAAGCACATTCAATTTATTAGTGACAGCTACACCATCGATTATAACCACTAGCTCAATTGGTGAGTTTACACTAGTCATTAACAATATTTGTGTACATTTGCACACTTTCCAAAAATAAATACACTATAACTGTATACTCATTTTCAGTTTCAGAGACCAGTGTCATCATGACTTCTATACTCTCCTCGACTATAACGACAACAGAGACTTCCCCAATCCCTTCATCATCAACCACTCTCTGGACAACAACTCAGACTCTATCAGTTTCATCACAGTCAGAAACAGAAACTTCAACTACATCTCCCTCCAATACTACTACTAATACTCCATCAACTCCATCATCACCATCTGATTATGCATCAAGTATGTACTCTCTCTGTCTATATTTTTCTCTTTCGTGTGTACTATAACAGTTTTTACGGTCTGATTCACTCTGTTTGTCTTCCTCTATTAGCCTCCTCTGCATGCCATAACCAATTCATTTACTCTCTAATTAATCAATACATGCGCATTCCAATTATAGCAAATAAAATTTCCTGTTTTCTTTTATACAAGTCTCACCGCGCATGTTTTTTTATTTTTGTAGACATCCTTGACGAAAAGTCCATAATTATGATCGTAGTATTAATGATGATACTAATTGTAATTGCTATTGGGGTCATCTTGTCACTCTGTCTTGTACAAAGGAGGAGAAAAGCATCGCATTACTCAAAGAATGTCATTAAAATGTTCAACCCGACTTCTCAGAGCAGAAGTGAAGATGTTGAGAGACCGAGCAGAGAGAGAGACGACAAGAGAAGTTATTGCTCAGAAGCTGGAGAGTCGGCGACGAGTCTCAGTCCGAACTTTCTCTACGACACAATACCGGCTTTTGTTTTAACTTTGGGTCCTGGGAACTCAAAAATAGCTCGAGTATAAATTATTGTATATTATATATAAGACTTCAATCCTCAATCTCCAGATATCACGATACAAATAATAATAATATAATAATGATGATAGTAGTAGTAATTATAATTAATAGATAATAATCATGATTTAATGTCAATTTTAAAAAATTAAATCAATTTTTTGAATTGGAACAATCCCGAGAAATCACCCCACAATTTGGATAATCCTAATCTTAGCAATCAATGCTGGTACCTCTGGTATGTACTTCCTTGAGACACTAAAAGTTAAGTCATTGGAACTTGACCCAATCATATACATGCGGTCATACTTGATTCACAATGAATTGAAGCTTAAGAAGTGGATGGTGGTTAACATGATGAAAGGTTTTGAAAGCACTTCTTCTTACTATCTAGTTTTCTGTTGTCACTATTATTGATTATAAGCTAGAATGTACACTAGTAAAGGATTCATTACTTTGTGGTTAATTTGTAAAGCTTCAGAAGCCCTTTATAAAAACTAAAGGGTACTATATAAAATAATCTCCAGTATTACACCAGTATATGTACATACCAACAAACGTGCTATATGCATTTCCTAGTAATTATGTCATGGCGGGGAAGAATAGGGGGAGAGAGAAGAAAGGTGGGGGAAGCAAAAAAGTAATTGGAAAGTTTTTCAAACCATGCCTGCTATTGATTACTCCAGATAAGTGAATATAGACAATACCCTATGCCATACCATAGGCAATATTTAATAATTATCATTCATAAGTAAAACTGCAATCAGTGATCAGAAGGCCTTAAAAATAACACAATTAGAGGAATCCATCACAAAAACACACAAGCAATATAGCAGTGTTAAGTAGTCTATTATATGAGAGAAAATCGAAGATCAGTTCTTCCATCTTTTGTAGGTCCCTATTCTCGAATGACAGTCTGGACACACGTGAACCACATCCTTACAGGCACTGATGCATAATGGCAGGAATATACAACTATAAAAACAATAACAAGAATGGGCTGTAATGTCAAGGTAAAGACTTGCAGGTAATAATAACACAATTAGCAGTAAGTATTAACCAATAATGGTTAATAGTACAAACAACACAAATATTGCTTCACTCTCTTCCTTTCCCACTGTATTACAACACCACAGTGCTAGTACACACAGAGTCAATCATCTTAACTTACTTAGCAATGAAACTTCAAACAATACTAGCAAAGGCAGGCACTATTACTTACTCTATCATTCTCCATTTACTATTACCATAATACTATTTACACTACACGAACAGAAATAGCAGTGCATATTATTAGAAAAGAGTACAAGTAAATAAATGAATCCAAGAATAACAATCTCAAAAATAGCAAAGTGGATCCACAATGTCTATACAACTAAGGACTCCATCAACACTGCCAGTGTGTATGTATCATGTTCTAGTCCAATCAAAAGTGGGCCTTTGCTAAACACTACCCCGTCTCTTACTGCCTTTGCAAAGTAGCCCTAATGCATTATGTCGGTGGAAGTGGTTGTGTGGGTGATCAATGGACATTGTATATAATCAAAGTAGCCTATATAGGATAAGGAAACCGGTTTAAAGCCAAATTTCCCTCGACAACAAAGAAATCAGTTTGTTTGCTTGGATGACAATCAAAAACAACCACGGAAAAAAAATTACATTCTTAGAGAAGGCCACCAGACACTTTGCCTCCAAAGTTTATAAAATGTCAGGTTCACTTCTCCCAGCCATACCATTAGGATGAGTCAGTGATATGAGAGAACACAATACAAACATTAACTGGCTTCACTAACATATGATGGTATACATCCTGTCACAAACTGAGAGGCCCTCATTACTAAATATAGTAATACCAATGGTGTTCTTCTCATGTATCAATACCTATGCAGCCCTAAAGGTGAGTATGGGGGACAGTTAACAACAAGAGGGAAGAAGACATGGGGGAAGGATTGGAATAGATATTTTAATTAATTAAAGTGATTGTAATCAAACGGAATGCAATGAGAAAGGAGGGGGGAGAGCTTAGTTACTGTCCCTCATAAATTAAAGGTAATTTAGTCTTTGTTCTATTCCATGGACAGTTGCACATTTATCTGTGATCACATCCTTGAAAGCTATAATATACTACAAAACAGACACAATGATATAAAAACAAAGATAATCAACCTGAACCTTGCTATCAGCTGATAGACAAATAAGGCCACACACTTGAAAGTAAGCTCAATGCTGATACAACATCAATTTAAATGGAATATGACGGATATGTTTTCTATGTACTACACTAACACAAGACCATGATTGGACTAGAAATTCTTATAATGCCATTTGCTACATGTATACACACACCAAGTGGAAGGCAAGGGGCAGAGAAACATGCTCTAACAATCTAGTGCTAATGTAAAGCCTTGCCTTAGATAGGAGAAGTATGATATAAATACAATCAGAAAGCAATAAAATATACAAATTTTTGTGTAAACAGAATAGTATTGAGTTAATTGTAGGCTGTTGTATCCCACGGGTACAAGGAAAGGAATCACAAAAATGGTAGTACAGGATTTACGTATGCACCTTGCATTGTAAGAATGGTGGAATTTAATGCATGAATGGGCATTGTTCCAAAAGGCTTACCAAGAATAGGAACTGGTAGTCCTAGATTTAATGGCTAAATATAAATGGAATGTGGAAAGATATAACTACCCAAATAGCATTCATACAACTCACAACATGAACACACACGTCACATACACAATTGTCAACAAAATATTAATGAACATTATTCTTGGTAGTTTACTAGACCCATGACTCCTAACATAAACAATGGGGACAAATCATGAGATTCTTTAAACATAAACAATGGGAACAAATCATGACATTCCTTTAATATGGAGCAAGGCTCATTGGGTATGATATGATAATATGATATAAGATTTCCCAAGGAACAGCTACTAACTGCTGTGTTGCAATAAACCAAGAAGCTCACTAGTCCACTTTGATGTCCTTGATCAACACTAAACACTACAAGCTAAAGTAAAGCAATGAGGTAAGGCAACATGGGGCAATATGATGCACACACACACACACAGACACAGGAATGAGAAAATAATCATGTCTGATAAACGTGCAATGATTGTCGATCACTCCTAATAATTAATGACTATATATGTAGATGCATTAGAACTTCAAAGAAATAACAAAATGACACGTGTACGTGCAATTGTCCAGATAAGGAGCATTTGACTAGTCATAATTCCAATCACAACATAATGTGAAAGGTCACTGCCAACTTGATAGTTTACATAAGTTCATTTGTGTAAGGCAGAATTAGGAAAAATGATAGCCTTTGACTAATAATTTTGGTCAAACCTACATTGTACATACACACGGAACAATCTCATTTTCCTAAAGTTTTGGACTGCAACAATAAAATGGTAAACAAAGATCGAGTAATAAAAAACAATAGGGACACACTAGTAGTAATAATAGTAAAATGGCAATGATAAATACAGTAACAACAAAGTCTTTTTATAGTAACGGTATAGAGTAAAGAATGAAGATCAAACTAACTAAAAATGGGTGGTTTCTGGAGACCTAGACCAAATACCAAAAGCCTCTTATTAAATCTTTCTATATCTAACCAAGCCTGGGGTCATTCAAAAATTCGTAAAAAAATCAATTTCCATCGGGATAATTTCAAACTAGATATACAACGTCAGAACATATATATGCATCAGAAAAAATTTAAAAAAGAAAATTCTCTCCTAGGCATTTTCAAGAAAATTTGGCACAAGACACAGTACTACAGTAGAGGGACTTTGGCCCAATTTTTGAGTAACTTTGAAAATTCGCAAAAAATCTAATTTTGATTGGAATCTGCTCAAACTTGCTACACAAAGATAAGAAGATGTATATGTATCAGAAAAATTATTTAAAAAATGGAAAATTATCTCCTATTCATTTTTGGTGAAAATTGGCTGAAGACCCTGTACAGGGCCTACTCTGGCCAGATTATTGAATAACTTTAAAAATTCATAAAAATAGGAATCAGCTCAAACTTGCTACACAGCATAGGAACTAACAGTATATGTACTCAATTTCATAGAAAGCATGGGAGGTCGTACACATGCAAATGTACATAATAATAACATTTCATAAATCAACCTTGGATTCGGTTCACTATCATAATCATAATAACACATTAAGAATAACAATGAACAATTCCTTATTTGGAAGAAATAATAAGAAAAACAATGTCTCTGAAATTACATGTGCATGATGCATAGAGACAAAAATGACATAGTAATGCTGATATATTCATAATATAGTACAAGTATTGTACTTCCTTACCACCACAGTCCTAACAGACAGAGTAATATTGTAAAAATGAGTGTGATACGACCGGATTTATATTCAACGTGTGTTAGTACTCTCCTGTGACAGTTGGGGCATTGAGCATAGACTGGGAACTGGTCAAAATCA